TGTAATTGTAATTGTAATTGTAATTGTAATTGTAATTGTAATTGTAATTGTGATTGTGATTGTGGAGATTGTAATTGTAATTGTGATCGAGATTGTGATTGTTATTTTAATTGTAATTATGAAATGATAAAAATAACAAAAATAAAATAATAAAAATCTTAGGTTACACAAGTTTCACTAAGTAAGACTTTTTAATTTGTCATAATCTTTCTTGCCTTTATCTCTATTGACTTTATTTAGGTGAAATATTATTTCAACTCAGTCATTCCTCCAAGTGGGGTTAAACAGATCCTTCATTAGCCAAACTGATAGAATAAGTTTAACCCAGTCCGACCGTTTAAAATGTCTCAGCTCTTGTTGTTCTCTATTCTCTAACCTGTATCCAGTAGTATACGGAAGGACAGGATGATAAAGCTTGAAGAACAGCGTTCACAAAACATGAATTACCAGAGTTAACCAAACCTCGGACCCCGTCTAGATTCTTCCTTGATATTTTATCATTGTTATTACGCTTATCACTGGAAAAAAAGTAATGTATTTCTGAAGAAATGCGTCATAATAATTTCTGAGCAATACATCCTCTCTTGCCTTTTGCCTCAGATTAATTTCCAAATATTCTTTCAAAAGGTGTAAAGTGTACAGAGTAGTGTGTACAGTGTACAGTGTACACATTCTTTAGGAAAACTATCTTTAAAGCTGAAGAGACATTTAAGTAACGCATGGATTTTAAATGTCGAGCTTTTTACGAATCATTGATTTGCTTTTCCTATGTAGATACTTTGTCTTGCTCAAATACCTGTGACCTGTGGGTCCGAACAGAACATAAAGGCTGACCGCACAAGCTACTGTACCAACAGCCAGGCCGGCCATGTGGGATTCTACAAACTTTGACATTGACATTGCTCTAGAACATTCTGGAAAAATTATAAAAATGTTTGTTTAATTTTTATAACAAGACTAGCAGTTGACATGAACTTTTGACACACATATATAAAAATATAAAATTTTTAACTATCTTTTTGATTTAAGTATAACAAGAAACGAATATCTGTATCACAATAAAGTTTGATTTAAAGACTTTATAATGCATTTGTGAATAATAATGATTTCATTGTTTAAGGAATTAAAACAACACACAATACAAATAATTAAATTTTTATCTTGAATAGAAGATTATAGCGAGATGAGAATTTGATGCATCTTTAAACAAACTAATTAAAAAAAATACATTAATAAAGGCAATGTGAAACAAATCTGAGATCAGTAAAAACTTCTTTGTTGATTTACAGAATGAGGTTGGTGATGATACTTATGATGGGAAGGAAGAAGAAAGATCTGATCATGAATCACCAGTAGAGAATAAGGTTTTGGATAATACTAATGATGAGACAGAAGAAGAGAATGATATTCATTTTGAACTTGAGAATGATATTCATTTTGAACTTATCACCAGAAGAGCAAGAGGTTGGTGATGATACTAATGAAGAGACAGAAGAAGACAGATCTGATCATGAATCACCAGTAGAGCATGAGGTTGGTGAAAATACTAATGATAAGAACGAAGAAAAGAATGCTGTTCATGGAATTGATCTGAAGTCCTGGACTGTGTTCCGTCTGAATATGTCTGAAATAAATTTTTTTGATGCTCTTTGGTGATGAAAAAATTTCAACTTCCTTTAACTTGGTGAAAATTTCCAAAAAATATTACCTTAGATAAAGGTTTTTCCCGATCTTCTTTTTACAATCTGCAACTTGACAAGTTATTGGTGAAAACCCACAGATTTCTTGATGCTTGCCAAGCTCCATTCTTTAAATAATTACAGAATTCAACTTTTAAATCAACTTTTAAATCTTTTAAAATTCAGGTTCGAAGGCTGTCTTGAAGATGGAGGAAGATAAGAAAAGAGAAATGTTTCCTACCCGCTCTCAAAAATCATCTTTAACCCCTGATAAAAAGTATTCATTGCTAAAAATAACTGAGAAAATACAGTGAATATTTTTGATAACTAGGTGAAAGGTAATTTCAACTTTTTTACAAAAAAATATTCCATCAGAATAAACACTGGAATTAAGAACTAGAACAGGCAAAACAAGTAGAAGGAGAAACAAGAAACAAAAATGGACAGAGACAGGGTTTAAAGACAACCTAACTTTATTTACCTTGTAATGACCTCTGTACACCCATACTCAGAATAGGAACAAGAAGTAGGTCCGAAGTGACATCTAGCCTCATGTTCTTCAATATAACCACATACTACCTCCAAATCACATCCTTCAGTCTGATATCTAGATTGATTAATTAATTGATTGATTGGCAAGGAACGAAAGTTGATTAATTGATCAACCTGCAAGGAAAGATGATGAATTGATTGACCTGCAAGGAACGAAAGATTGTGAATTGATTGATCTGCAAGGAATGAAAGATGATGAATTGATTGATCTGCAAGGAATAAAAGATGATTAATTGATTAACCTACAAGGAATAAAAGATGAGGAAATGATTGATCTGCAAGGAATGAAAGATGATGAAATGATTGATCAGCAAGGAAGGAAAGATGATGAATTGATTGATCTGCAAGGAATAAAAGATGATTAATTGATTAACCTGCAAGGAAAGATGATGAATTGATTGACCTTCAAGGAACGAAAGATTATGAATTGATTGATCTGCAAGGAAAGATGATGAATTGATTGATCTGCAAGGAATAAAAGATGATGAATTGATTGATCTGCAAGGAATAAAAGATGATTNGATTAATTGATTGACCTGCAAGGAATAAAAGATGATGAATTGATTGATCTGCAAGGAATGAAAGATGATGAATTGATTGATCTGCAAGGAATAAAAGATGATTTATTGATTGACCTGCAAGGAGTAAAAAGATGATTAATTGATTAACCTGAAAGGAAAGATTATGAATTGATTGACTTGCAAGGAATGGAAGATGATGAATTGACTGATCTGCAAGGAATAAAAAAATGATTGATTGATTGATCTGCAAGGATTAAAAGATGATTAATTGATTGATCTGCAAGGAATAAAAAATCATGAATTGATTGATCTGCAAGGAATAAAAGATGATTAATTGTTTGACCTGCAAGGAATAAAAGATGATTAATTGATTGACCTGCAAGGAATAAAAGATGATTAATTAATTGACCTGCAAGGAATAAAAGATGATTAATTAATTGACCTGCAAGGAACCGGAACTCTGTCTAGTAAACTCTCTGCAAACAGTAGTCGTCCTCGAAATGGTTTTCTAAACAAATATTTCAAATTTCAGTGTGCTTCTTTAATATTCCGTGAATTAATATGAATGACGTAATTAAGTTTTATAATTATTAGAAATAAAGAAATCAATAATTATCATTTGTAAAAATAAAAATGAGTGGTTTATAATTTCATAAAAAATCGTTATCCTCCTCCCACACGTCTATTTTTTCCTCATTGTATCACGCTAGACCGTTTTTTTAAATTTTAATAAACCCTTTTTTAAAATTTTTCTTATAAATTTTGATTTCAAAAACCCGGTTACTGAATTTTAAATTTACTACATTATTTAGAGAAGTAATGTTTTTTGTTTTCAGTACAGTAAAATAGACGACACTAAAATAAACAAATTCTTTTTCACGTGAAGAATCTACTCCATGAACTCGAGTTACCTGCACTGCGGACAGGAGAGTATTCTAGGTTTACACTCGGCACAGATGAGATGACCGTTCTCACATTGAAATATCGGTGGCTTCCTACATGGAATACAGAGTTACACATTATGCATGATGAGACTTCAGAGAGGACTGTAAGGAGTAACACCTTAACGTTTTTACATTTATAGTTTCCTAAGGATTTAAACTTTTTTTTTATGTTTGTCCAAACTTTCAATTTACAAAAATCCACATTATATTTTAATAGGGTCATTAAATTATTTTTGGTCTCCCTGTGCATCCCAATAAAAATAGGAACAAAGTGACAACTTAAAGGGTGTGTTCTGCCGTTTTGTACCTATTAGAATAAGTAAGGTATACAGACATTTTTTGTTAACAGTAGACAACATTTTGAAAGCTCACAAGACTAGTGGTTTAACCGTTTTGGTTCATTTTTTGCTTGAATTTTCCATTAGTATCAGCATGTTTAGCATAGTATCAGAAATGTGAATGTTTTTAAAATAGTTTTTTGTTGAAAATTGGCTTTTCCATGTCAAATTTTAAACCTGACTTTCAAATATATGCAAAAAAAACTATCCAATAACGATTGTTTTTGGTTCGTTTCTCAACTTTTAAGGATACAATATTGCAACGTTAAATAAAAATAATACTTTAACATAATACAATTCTTAAATGTTGGAAGTTTTCTTGAAAATTTTCAAAGATCGAACCAAAATGATGAACAACACTACACACTACACAAGATGTGCTTCCATTTTTAATACAGTCATTTTCTGTCGGAAATTAAAGAATATTTTTAAGCAAACTTTTAATTCCGTATTTAAAACATCCTTTAAGGTCAGGTTTGACCGTAGTAAATTGTAATAAAAAAAATAATAATTTGGCCGAATTTACAGAATTTGAGCCGCAGCTTAAATATGGTTGGTTCCATTTAAAATTGAATTAAATGTTCCAAGGTTTAAGCTGGCGCTTAATTGAAACTGGTTTATGGTGGATTTGAGACGCGACTCAACTTCATTAAATTCTTGGTAAGAAATAACAATTTGTTGGCCATTATTTAAAGGAACTATTGACCTGGGTATATTAGAACAATTTATAATCCTGGCATGAGTGACTTGCGTATGTTTGTTTAACAATTTCTTGACCTGGGTATATTAAAACAACTTATGTACCCTGGTATGTTTAACAATTTATTGTCCTGGGTATATTAAACAATTTGTTGACCCGGGTATATTAAAACAACTGATGAACCCCTGGTATGTTAAACAATTTCTTGACCTGGGTATATTAAAACAACTTATGTACCCTGGTATGTTTAACAATTTATTGACCTGGGTATATTAAACAATTTGTTGACCCGGGTATATTAAAACAACTGATGAACCCCTGGTATGTTAAACAATTAATTGACCAGGGTATATTAACAATTTATTGACCCGGGTATATTAAAACAACTTATGTACCCTGGTATGTTAAACAATTTATTGACCAGGGTATATGAAACAATTTATTGACCCGGGTATATTAAAACAACGTATGTACCCTGGTATGTTAAACAATTTACTAACCAGGCTATATTAAATAATTTGTTGACCAGGTTATATTAAATAATTTATTGACCTGGGTATATTAAAACAAACTGGACATTCTAAAGATTTTTTCAAGTCCTCAACCAAACTATTTACTTCTGACATTCTATCTGAAAATATTTAAATAAAAATCATAATTGTAAAAGTAAAGATCCATCAGAAGTATAAAACCTAAAGACACGTAAAATTAACTAGAAATACATACTGTCTGTAGTGACTATTCAAGCTATGAAGTTCTTTCGATTTCAAAAGCCATAAAAAATCATAAAAGTATGAATAAACATCAGAATAAAACAGAATAGATCAGAAAAAAACAATATATACAGATAATAAGCCATAAAAGAACCAGAAAAGAAGAAGAATAACAGATAAGAACAGATTTGATCAAAATATAACAAAATATAACAGAATAGAGCAGAATAGATTGGAACAGAACAGAATATAATTAAATAGCTTAGTTTATTTTGTAAAAAAAGAAAATATATTGGAATAGAACAGAAGAATAAGAACAGATAAGAATAGATGAGCTGAGAACACTAAGATGAACTCAACTTTTATGTCTTCTGTCTGTATTCTAATACACGGTAATTAACTGGATTAACTAGGTTCACAATTATCAAGATAGCTTCTACAGTTTAAAGGGTTTGTTCTTCTATTTGAAAATGTGTTGAATGTGGGACACAATTAAGCCTATTGGACCACTGATAGATGTCCGGTATTTTCTATACTTTTAGCCATAATTAGTCTTGTTATTTTGCCAGCGAAAAAAAACGGGTTTTAATGTAAAAGAGATTTAAATATTAAAATTAATTTTTAATGACTTACCGATTCATTTGTTATTTTATAAAAAAAAGTTGACAAACACTTTTTTTAAACTCAACTATATATTTACCACAGAAACCAATCTTAACAAAAAAAAATATTAATCATGCTAGCCCTGTTAAATTTCAAATAAATAATAGATATAACTGAATTCAACATGGAACCCCTGACGGTAAGAAAAAGATTGGCTGATTTGGGTTCCTATGTTCACAAATTAGAGAATTAATTTAATGTGTATTTCCAAGTAGATGACAAAAAGAAACGTTTGCAACAATACTTGGGATTCTACAGTTAAAGCGATTCAGCAAAAATCAACATCATAGGTAAAAGTTATTTTATCAAGTTAGCTTTGGCTGCTACCGCCCAGTGCACAATCACAAGCTTTTAGTTGAACACTTTATACGTTTACAGGGCATTGGAAGTAAAATTTAACAAACATTTGAATTTAATAGAAATATTTCTTTCTCTTTAGGTTAAAAACCAAAAACACAAGAAGCTAAGACATTTCTTCACATTTTATTCATACACTGCTAACAATACATTAACTTGTATTTTGGAGAAAATTTATATTTAATTTATTATTAATATTTGCTGATTTTACAAAGCATGATTTAAACATTAAATAATATTCATCCGTTTCTTCCATTTCCTACACAAAAAATCAAGTTATATATCAACTAGATGTTAGCAGAATTTAAAAAAATAAAAACTCTTTTAAAATTTTTGAAAAGTCAAAAATAATTGAGTTTTTATATAATTAACTAGAATATTTCCTTTATTACATACAAGATAAATTCATAAATCAGAATAAAGAATTAAAACAATGGGAAAAATATAACTTCCTCTTTATAAACTCTCTGAACAGGAGAAAATATTATCCATTATTATTTTTCCTTAAAAAGCTCATGATTTCATGAATTAATTTGGGAATTATTCCTTGGGTCTAAACTAGGTCTGCTGAACCATCTCCGGGTCCAAACTTCATCTACTAAACCGTCTGCTCGACGTAGTTGCCAGGGAAGAGCCCGGTGATACCGTCCATGACCCCCTCCCACCAACCATCGTCGTTCTTTTTCAACACGTAGATTGTCTGACCCTCCTACAAATAATAAATAAATAAAACCCATAAACTTTTCATCTCATAATCAATATATATTTATTATTCAATATTCATGCATAAATAAATAATTATTTATTGTTAATTGATTTAGAAGACTTATATAGTCTCCATTCTTCAGGAATTGAGAATACAGTTCTCTACTTTCTCTCCTACCTGAACCAACCTTATCCTACCCTCTCTACATATCCTCACCATTTCCTACTCTCCCCCAGGAGTTTATGTGATGGCCTTTCATGTTTCCATACATCATTTAGCATGAGTTCAACGATCTGATGTTTCAGATCTGGAAGTCCGGCTTTGGACTAGGACAGGTTAGTGCTACCACACTTATGCAGCATTGACTAATTGATTGATTGATTAATTGATTGGTGATTGAAATTTTACCTGGAAGGTTAATTCATCCTCTTTATCTGCGTTGTAATCGTAGATTGCTAAAACCTTCTCCAGGTAGGTCTTAGGAACCCAGCCAGGTAAACTCATATCCTAGATAATTGAAAATTGAAAATGTTCAATTTTCTTTTTTCTCAATTCGGAGCTTGGAACTCTAGCATTGTGGCTATCGAGGTTAATGCTTTTGTTAATTTGTAGATTAATTTAATCCTTTTTCGATATCCAGCATAGTGCCCATTCAGGGGTTAAAGGTACCTTTGATCATGGGAAGAATAACTGAAATGAAGAGATTGCGCATTGATTCTCCAATTAAAAGTGCCCAATGTGAATATTGAGACGAATGACGGGATTATGAGTTTTCAGAACAAAAGTTCCCAGCTCTGTATTTTATACTTTATAGAAACAAATGCTAAAAACTGATTCGAATATACTTCATTATTTCATTCAATCAATCATTGAAAAAATATAATATTTATTGATCAAGTGCAAACATTTTATTTTGAAATATTTCTATGTTAATACCTGAGCGACAACAGTTGACATTGGTTGAACCGGGGCCTAAAATATATTAAAAATAAAAACAAAATACTAGAAATAAAAGCATAAATAAGACTCAATGAATGAACTAAGTTCAGAAGTTCGATGTGGATAGGAACTATTCTTAAGATTATTCTATAACTACATTTTATATTTGAGATAAAATAAACGCTTTTGTGATGATTTGAAAGTTTAAAAGTTTTGAAACAAAGAATCTGTGCTCAAAACTTTTGAATGACAGATTGAGTTAACCTCATTTTCTCCTTGCGATTAACCAATCGCAGTAGTTAAACTCAAAGTTTGGATCAGGGGAACAAAGTTTTACCATACCGCAAAGATGAAACAAGTTTAACTTAATTCTTACAAATAAAAGTTACCAGCTCTGGGACCGAATTTAATGAATTTGAGAGGTCGCTAAACTACCTACCGCCGGTTCAAATCCTTGAACCCCGAGATAAATTCTAGTGAATCTATAACTTTGAATCAGCGATTCAGGATTTGAACCAGCGGTGAGTAGTTAAGCGACCTGGTTCAAGTTCATTAAACTTGGTCCCTGGCGTGTAATTTACCTGTTCTGTAGATCTCTGATGGGGTAGAGAGGATGTAGAAACGATGCTACTGCTTGCACTAGTCTGCCGCCCGTAGTTCATCATACCAGACTGCACCTGGGCTCGTCTACACATTTTTTTCAACTCATGAGTGTATATTATATTTTTATAAACGTTTATACCCGAGAAAATATATAAAAATTATGCAGACACGTGGTGTATGTTATCCAAACATTTTTTTCTAAAAAAATGTTTATCTCATTATTTTCCGTTTGTATTCAATAAACGGATCAAAAAGGGGTTACTTTAATAAACCATTTAGAAATCCAACAATGACAACAGAAAAATCTGGGAAATCTGAAATTGTTCTGTGTATGAACGTAAAAGCATGGAAATTGTTAAATAAATCTTATTTAATCTTAAAACTTTGTTTATCTGACGCATCTGTAAAACCATAAAATATAGAACTGTTCGAAAACAACTAATTCTTGATTAGTAAGCAATAAAAGTTTTAAACCCAATTTTTGCTTACGTTGAGTATGTTTGTTGATCACTGATCGCCCCTCGTTGATCACTGATCGCTGATCTAGTCGAGTATACAGAGGAATCACTCATCTGCCGTTGATAGCTCATATCAACTCCTTGCCTAGAAGATATATCTTGGGCTAAGTCCTGAAGATCCGCAACATTTTGGATTCCAGGATCCGCAAAAATATGCAGATCCACGGATCCTAATCCAAGGGGTATAATATCAACCAAAAACTATTAAAAATTTAAACTGTTTAATATAGAGGATCAAGGTATTCATTCATTTATAATTTGTGCCTTCAGAAGACAAAAAGTGATATCAAATAAATTTTCTTGAACGTTTAAAATTTTTTTTAATGAAATAAATAAGTTTTCGACCTACCTTCCATATATTGGGTTCCCAGGAGGCGGACCTGCAGGCGGAGCAGGAGCATTCATTGGCGGAGAAGGCGGACGCTGAGATGGGCGTGTCATTCCATATTGCGAGGGTGGGGTGGCGCCACGTTCACCTCTACCGTAGTTTGAGGGTGGTGTAGCACCACGACCCACACCATACTGTCCGTATACTCCAGCCTGGCTGGACTGACGACTCACTGAAAAAAGTGAAATATTTTCCAAAAAAATCTTTTTAAAAAAATTTGTAAGTTTACTTTGTTTAAATTTCCTGACCTGAGGTTGAATGACTTGTTTGTCTCATGATACCGTAAACATCAGTATCCCCACTGCTAGTCGACGGCTTGATAAAACGAAATTAGATAAAGAAAAAACATAAAATAACATTTCAAGATAGTAAAATTTTCTAACTTGAATTCCGGCAATATTTTTCTTAAGTATCAAGTTTTGCTGCAAGAGAAGAAAATTTTCTTTAGTTTTCTATTTTTATGAAATAGAAAAAATCGCATACAGATAAATACAAAAAAAAAAAATTGAAAACTCTATTATCACTGTGTTTTAAACCTCCAAAATCATGTTTTAAATTAAATAAAACAGATGAAACGTTAAAAGTTTTCGATAAAAATTCACCGCTCAGTCATAAGACATAAGAAACTTTTAAACAGACTTAAAGGGACTGTAAGCGTAATTTCAAGTGAACCTCTATGCAAAGAAAACTATCACAAAAATACTCTTGACACCTTAATCTGATAAAAATGTGGAAGAAATTGTGTTTGATTTCTCCATTATTTCTCATAAGCAAGAAATGCGCAAGTCACTTTTAGAGAAAAACCACACAAAAAGAACAGTTTGAATAAACAAATTCATGAATACAAAGCTTTCAAGGGTACCGTTGTAAATCGGGCATTGTCATCTTTGCATTGGGGTTCACTTGAAATTACGCTTTCAGTCCCTTTAAGATAAGAAAAAATTCAGGAACATAATTGGGGGAAGTAATTAAAGAAATAAAAACCCATAATTAACTAGTTTTTACCTTTCTTGTAACTCCGTAAGTTCCTTCATGTGGTGGCGGGGTGGGAGTTCCAGAGTTAGCTGAGTGTGTAGACCGAATGGAGTGGGAGGAAAGGCGTGGCATTGTTGCCCCACCCTCCTGAGGCTGCGGGTAGACCATTCCAACCTGAGGATGTTGATGAGGCAGAGTACCATACTGCTGACCGCTCCTGGAGGTTTTAGGATAGTTAGGGGCGTAGTTGGAGGGAACCTGAGGGGGAGCTACTACAGGGGGGGTTCTATACTCACTCTTATTCCGGGTCAACGTACCTAAAATACAAACTTCATCAATTAAGCTTGGGTTCCAATTCCTTGTGATGCAAATCCGGCCTGGAAAAAAATGGATCCAGATCATGAACATTTCTTAAAGATTTACTGATTATTTGAAGAAAAGATGAATTTTCAAATTATTTTTCTTCCATTCACCGTTCAGATTTGAGATATGAGAGGAAAGTTTTATTTTACAGTTTTTGGTAAATATTTGGCACCTTGGATCCGGATCTGGGATGCCAAAATATTGCGATCCTGATGTACAATACATACACAAAATTGCACAGAGTTTCCTACAAAATATTCTCCACAATAACATACCTCCTGAACCTGAAGGGAAACGGTTTTGCGGTGGAGTAGGTGGTTTGGTGGTGGGAGCAGGACCGGCGGAGTTCTGGCTCACGTTGCCTACACTGCCGTACTGGGACCTTCCCGGACCGTACTGACCGCTGTACTGGTTTCCTGATGAACAAAAATCCATTATTTTTTATTTGAGCATGAAATGTGGAGGGTGGTTCTTTCATTTTATATTTTTCAAACTTTTCAAATTTTTGTTAAACAAAAATATTCTGATTTAAATCTATGTATGGAGAATGTACAGAGGCGGATACAGGATTTAAGTGAAGGGTATGGTAGATTTATTTGAGAACAAAAAAATCCTGATTTAGGAAGAAAAAGACATGCCTCAGGCGAAATTTTTTTGAAGATGGATATTTTCCCCGTATTGGACTAGGTTTTCTTTCCCTCAAGTGCTTTTGATAAGTGATACTGAAATCTCAGCCCCTGAGTTCGTTCGGGGGGTGCGAAGGTCCAGTTGCCCCCCCCCCTGTATCCGCCCTTGATGTGTAATAAAATATACAAATATTTACAAAATATAGAGAATATCAGTTACCTGGTGCGTATGGACTGCTAGATGAAGTGGAGGGTCGTTTGTTCATTTGACGTGGAGCATTCTGATGTGAAACTTTCACCCCGTGCCCTTTAACATGAAATTGGTAAATGGAAATAATTTAAATTTATCAGTTTACAGAAAATCTAGTTCCTTGGTTGTCATAATACGTCACAGCATTGAAAGATTTGTTGAGATAATGAAAAATGTTTGAATCTTTTATCGGCTGAAAAAACTTACTCCCCCCAAAAAAATCTTCAATTCAGAAAAAAACACATTCGAAGAGGAACTACCCAATTCTGATAGAGCTTACCAATATTATCCAGTGAACTGTAGTCAAAACAAGAATAACGAAATATTTGAAAACCTTTAACTTTTTATGTAAACCCCCGATAATTTGTTTAGTAAAATAATTTTTTCCTAAAAAATCTCATTCAGAAAAAAAACATCATAACATTATTGAGGAACTGTCCTCTGCTGATGGTGCTTACCAATTTTATCAAGAAAATTGAAGTCGATAAAATAGCGAACAATTTGCAAAATTGACAAAAAAGTTTCCCGAAATTTTGTTAAGTAAAATGATTTATTTTTCCCAAAAACCCCAAATTCAGAAATTAACACCTCCAAACAGGAAATGTCCTGTTCTGATAGAGCTTACCAAAATTATCCAGTGAATTGTAGTCGATTAGAGAAACATGAAAAACCGCAAATTCAGAAGAAAAATAAAACTCTGAAGATGAACTGCCCTGTTCTAATAGAGCTTACCAATATTATCCAGTGCATTGTAGTCAATGGGCTTCCTCACATACTTGATGGGGCGCTCCGGGTTGGCGGGGGCAATGATCTTGTATTGCCTGTAATCATCAATTTTAGCAGTAGAAAATATTCCAATATTACTAATTAAGCAACAAATATTACGCCGTAATAAACCATGACGGTGGTTGGGGGGGGGGAGTAATTAAAACATATTCTAACTGCATACAGACTTTTTCAGCATATTCTTGATGTTTCTAATAGACTTGACATCCAGACTAATCAAAGGGTGTAAACCCATTATCGATGTTCCAGGTAGACTTGACATCCACATTTCGCACTCATCAAAGGGTCTAATCCAATTTTTGTTTCTAGTAGACTTTTAACATCCACAATAATATGATTGATCTGGGATTCCATTTCTTGAATCTGTAAACTCTCAGTAATGATATTTAATATGATTGATCTGGGATTCCATTTCTTGAATCTGTAAACTCTCAATAATTTTATTTAATATGATTGATCTGGAATTCCATTTCTTGAATCTGTAAACTCTAAGCAATAATGTTATTCAAAAGACTATAAAAAAAAACTAAAACTGAACAAACTATTGCAGTAAATAAGCCAGAGCATAGATTTTTGATGCTTTGAAGGGAAAAAAATTGGACATCGAAAGGCAAGTTTTTCATCCTTTTTGATATTTTAAAGCCCTAAAAATCATTAATTTTCCCTAATTCCCTGATTTTAGGAAAACTTTTGATTGCGTTGGAGCTAAGCTACTAAAGATTAATTCTACATTCTGAACAAAAACTTTTGAATTAAATTCAATAGTTCATGTTCGAATGTTGACTCATGAAAGCAGATTAAGCTCAGAGGGATAAAAACCGGCTTAGATCTATCCATTAAACCAAAAGTTTCCAGCTCTTGTAAATATTCAGCAAAAGATTTACCTGTAAGTCTAACATCTGAAGGAAATTGTACGCAAGTGTATTGATTTGGTACGCAACTGACGCAAGACTCTGGGTTGTGTAGCTCTTAGTCTCCTCTAGCGCAGCTTTCTTGTTATCACACTAAATACAGGGGGAAATTTAATTTAGTTGTAAAGAAGACATTTCTGGAATTTTGGTAGCTCAAAACTTCCAGACCTCGTACATCCTTAAAATCATCTCTGGATGGAAATTTAAAAATTATGCATATAAAAAATACAGAATGAACAGCATGATTATCGTAGTTTAATTATAATAAATACATTTCTAATTGTACATTCCTTGGCCTCCCAGTACTCCTAATGTACATTTTTTGACCTCCCAGTACTCCTAGTGTATGTTCCTTGACCTCCCATTACTCCTTGTATATATTTCTTGATCTCCCATTACTCCTTGTATATATTTCTTGACCTCCCATTACTCATAGTATACATTCCTTGGCCTTCATTACTCCTTGCATACATTCTTTGGCCTTTATTACTCCTTGTATACATTCCTTGACACCTCCCAGTATTCCTTGTATAGATTCATTGGCCTCCATTCTCCAATTACTCTTAGTATACCTGGAAGTAGTTGGTCTCACAGTACTCCGCCACCCTCTCCAGGTTAGTATGGGAGTCCAGGAGGTTTTGTCTTCCTTCTGGGATCTCCGAGGTGATCAAAGAGTCCAAATCGGCAGCCATCTTGGCTGAAAAATTGAAGACGACTGAAAATATATACGAAGAAAGTTCTCTGCCAGTTGACATAAAATGACTGCTGGGAAAAAACTATTTAGAACAATTTTCATTTAAGTTCAAACTTTTAACTCTATAGAACTTTAGGACAATAATTTTTAAGATAGCTTGATTTAAAAGTTTGAGCACATAAATTAATGATTTAAAAACATACGTATCATTCGCTAGTTTATTAAGTATCAACCCCTTAGGATCATTATTTCCAATAGTTTAATAAGGTAAAACAAAATCGATTTTCTGCTTATATACTAATTATGCAGGCTGATAGTTAGAAACACGATTAAATTAAACCATGAATGAATTTTAAACGAAAACTAAAATAGAATAATTGATTTGATTTAAAGTTCTCAAATAAGGAAAAGTGAACTTGAATTACTGTTATGAACAGACTGATAAACTTCAATTATAGCTATTTTCCAATACATTTTATGTGGAGCAAAGGATTAAACGATGTAACACAATAATTTTCATAAATCTCTAGATTAGCTAACATCAGGGGTTAATATTCTCGTCTCTCCTCTCAATCCAACATTGTTTCATCAGATTTAAGAAGAAGCACGATTGCTGAATCTTTCTCCAGTGACAGGAAGGCTGTCAAAGAATCTGTGCCGAAGAGCTTCGTTGAGAGATAATCTTCTCGAGGGTTCGTAAATAAACATTTTCTGAATAAGATCGAACATATCCTCCCAGTCCTTGTTCCCTCGAAACTCCCTGGGGATATACCGATGTAAAGACTTGTAGTTTTTCCTCACAAACTTCCCGTTACTCGATCCTTCGTCCCAGTCCAGACGATCGTTACTACGGAAATACTTGACTCGGGATCTAGAGATCATTCTTGAGGGAATGTCTCCCAGAACCCGTTCCATCATGGCTAGATGCTCAAGATCGTCGTGGGTTTGGAACAGTGTGATACCAAGTGCTGCCTCGAATATGATGCAGGCAATGGACCAAACATCACAGGGCTGGGACCAACCTAGTTCCATAATCACCTCCGGGGCACGGTAGTGTCGCGTAGAGACGATGGTTGAGTGGTGCTCGTGGTTGAATGTTGCGCTGCCGAAATCGATCAATCGAATCTCAGGATTGAGCACTCGATTGATCATGGATCCCGACGCGAAATCAAAGCCCGAGGAGTAGGCTGAATCAAAGAAAAGTATATTTTCTGGTTTCAAATCCGTGTGTGTAATCCGATTTCGGTGGAGAAAGTTGACCGAGTAGCAAAGATCGTACGCAATCTGTCTGACATGATTGATAGGATACGGCTGGAAGCCGTTATCCTTCAGAAAATCAAACACACTCTGCCCAAACATATCAAAGGAGATGCACATGTGCCCATGATACTCAAACCAATCCAACATGGCGACACACAGATGCTTCCCATAGGGGTCGTACTTAGACAGTTTGGAGAGCACATTTATTTCCAGGCGAGCAGCTTCTTTGTACTTTCTAACATTCTTGATGATTTTGATCGCCACCATCCTGTTCTGATAAAGATCCTGGCATTTGACAACCTTCCCAAAGGTTCCCTCTCCCAGGACCTGGAGTAGTCTGTACCGGTTCTGAAGCATGTCCCCGCATTGGAACATAAGATGGCCCTCGTCATCATCCTGATGAGATAGGTGTTTAATGTTCCAAACAGGGGTATATTTTCACGAAAAATAACCCCCCCCCATTTGTATGGTTTTATTCGCTAATTGGGGAAAATAAACGATTTTCAACAAAAAAAATTCAAAGAACTATAAACTCTTATGCCTGAATTTGAGGATATTTATTTAAATTGCCGATTCCGAACCGTGAATTCATCCTTGCTGTTTCCGCAGTGGCGGTAACATTGTTATTATTTCCACCATTATCATTCGAACATCCAGCAGAATTCATCCTTTGACGTTTATTCATATTCCCCAACTTAGGGGCGGGGGATCGAGCTCGCCGTTTTCTTGGCATCTTGATTGCCTGGAATACAGAAGGTTACCAAGAATGTGATGGTAAGTTAATTCAAATGTCAAAAACTGGAATTAAATTCCCAATTTTTTAAAATGTTTTTTGGTAATGTTCCATAACATGAAGGACCAACTTATTCCGCAAGCCATAGTTAGCTTGATTAGATGGAGAAGAACAAAAAATGTTTAATAGAAACTTCACAATTTTGGCTTCACAAGAAATTTAACAGAGGACACTTTCTTGTTGTTAATTCCGCAGTCGGCCATTTCTATTTTGTGGCTTAAATCTAAAGAGGATCCACCCTTCATTTTTATCCCCAGACATCCTGAAATAATTTTCTAATAAGCAAGTTTTTCACTAATACTTTTAGAATAAGAATAAAATTGATAGAAACTTAGATCTTTCTGTTAAAATCTGTTAAAAAATTACTAAAATCGAAAATTAAATCAGAAATTAAGGCCGCCATAAAATAGGTCCAACTTGTAAAATCATTTGCCGCGTTTCTGTACTTACCCCCTGAAACCGAAAATATTTTCTTACGCTAATTGCTCAATATTACGTTTAAAGAACAAATATCTGAAGATTTTTTTCACAATTGAAAGCCCCAAACAGCGGTTACAAAATACAAATTGTTAGGTTTCCAAAGCTTACCTACACCGCAATTGCTTTCAAGAGGAAATATTCAGAGATGTTAACTTTAGAATGTGATCTGTTAATTAATCTGAAGATTAAATTCATGAGGAGAACAAGCAATATTTAATCTGGAGACTAAGACGATATCCACCATTCTTAAGTTCCCAGCTCAGGATTCTTTTGCGATCCCCTGGGACTGGAAAGAACTGATTAAGGTCCAAGATGTTAAAGCAGATCTTATATATTGAAGCTGTGGTGAAGAGCATCAAGCAGGTGATTGGTTTGTCACTACCAAGAGAAACCTAGAAGCTGAAGCTACACGGAAGCATTAGAGGTCTAATATGAGACCATAGGAATAATAATACCCTTTTTTAAATGCATAGGATGCATAGATGCATAGTTTATATACATTTTATATATCGTTAACGTCATATATTCATATATACCATGAAACATTATGTATTTATTTACAACATAGATGCATAGATGCATAGACTTATGTAAAAAAATACATACAAGTTTATATACATAGGATGCATAGATGCTTATATGCATAGATGCATAGACTTAAATACAGGAAAATACATACAAGTTTATATACAGCTGCATAGGATGCACAGATGTATAGATGCATAGACTTATATAAGAAATATATACAAGTTTATATATGGCTGTATTGGATGCATAGATGCATAGACTTATATAAGAAATATATGCAAGTTTATATATGGCTGCATAGGATGCATAGATGCATAGACTTATATAAGAAATATATACAAGTTTATACATGGCTGCATAGGATTCATAGATGCATAGATGCAAAGACTTATATAAGAAATAAATACAAGTTTATATACGGCTGCATAGGATGCATAGATGCATAGACTTGTATAAGAAAGTACATACAAGTTTATATACGGCTGCATAGATGGAGGATAACTCAGATCAATCGGCTTTGAAGCTCTCAAGGTCTCATACCCTGGGGCCCTTGTTGTTGCACCAAATGTGAAAGGTCTTCCACCGCCGAACAATCCTGCTCCAGGCCCAGCCCATAATCCTGCACCACCACCAGCTGGACTAAATTGATCCAATTTTGTTTAAAAAATTAAATAAAAGAAATCTTATGGTTAGTGATTTATTTTATCAGATATAAAGTATGTTTAATTACGAGGGGTGTGGAGAAATTGGTTCATTGAGAGCAATATTTTTAGCTCAGTTTCATCATCTACAGGTGAAAATTTGATAGAAAAGGAAAACTGAAAAAGGTCTTAAAATTTAATACACAACTGCCAAAAATGAAATTTCCATGATTTCTTTTCAATTTTCAAACTTATTGTATTTTAATTTTTTGACAAAATTTTTAGATGTTTTAACTTACTTAATTCACGATTTGTTACTGTCCTCTTCTGAAATTATTCTATTCAGGGTCCGATGATAAGATGTCAATATCCTTCGGATTATATTTCTAAAGACAACTTTGATCTTCTTTCAAGGTAATGTTCTAAAATTGAGGCCAAGATATTAGGTGTGCATATTTTCTAGAAAAATCTTCCCCCACCCCTGTTGGAAAATATTTTTTTCCCTCCAAGAAGTTATGTATGGTTGCTAAAAATATTTATCCCTGCAAGAAATTCAAAAACCTATTTTAAAACCACTGTACCATATTTTCTGGGAGTGCCACTTGACAAATGATGAGTTTGTTTATATTTCTCTCAGAAGCTGCATTACACTTAGGCCTGTTCTAGCAAAGGATTTACACCAGTGTAAACTGTAATTTGCACAAGTGTTTACCTAGGATCGGATTTAATAGTCATGAATTACATTGGTTTATACAACAACAACGTATAGTTTACACTGGGTAGATTTACACCAGTGTTGAGACTTACCCAAAGTAAACCCGGGGGTATAGGCACCAACCAGAAATCACTGAATGAAAACTTAATAGTTCAGAAAATTAAAAGCATTTATTAATTTAATGAAAATAGAAAGCTAATTTTATTATTATTTTTGAAATGTTTTAAAGATGATTTCTCATATGATCATTTTTTGTTTAAAAATATAACTTCTAACGATATAATCATGTCAGAAATATAACCATTAAACCAACCAAAAAACAACCAGTCAAAAACATTTTTTGACTAAGAATATACAAACAAAAAACACTTAAAAAATCAAAAAAAATTAAAAATGAAAAAATCGCGTTTTTTTGTTGGTATGTGATTTTAAAGTTGGACATTTTTTTTGCATTTTTATATTCTGATAATTTTAATCATATGAAAAAAAAACCTAAATGAATTTATGTGGGACATCAAGAACCATTATACTGAGACCAGGGACGCATTATACCAGGGACCATCATGAAAAAATATTTTCTTTTTTTATATTTATGTTCTATTCATTTAAAAGAAATTCAATTCTATGTAATATTTGTATTTTTATTTTTGCGTTTTTTAATTTAAGAATTTTTTTTTCAACCTTTTTTCATTTCTTGCCAGTCCAGCCAGCAAAGACGACTTCGAACCCCATTACTTTTTTGTCAAGTTATTTTACACATGCTGTCTGAGCTTCTGAAAATAGTTATTTACACCGTGGTAATATATGGATGATTAATAAAGCCGTGAGTATGGCGAACCTGGCCCAGGGTTCACGAATGATAATAAAATCCATGGCTAGGTTACACCGGGTGACGAAATACTTCAGTGCAAATATACCCATAGGGTTTACACTAGTGTATTGTACTTCTTCATTAGAACGGGCTTTATTTTTATAAATAAGATTATGGGGTCGTATTGTAGATTGTAGAATGTAAAGTGTAAAGTGGTCCTTGGGTTAGGGGGAGGGGGTATTATTCTATCAATAACAGCTCTCATATTTTTTTTTTATTTCTTATCTTTGTATGATAATAATAAGATTAATAATAAGATAATAATAACGATCATAATAAGATTTTTGCATAATATTAAATAAGTAAAGTTTAAAGAGTATTCAGAGTGCCCTATTTATAGAATTACCCAATCACTTAAAAAAAACATACCTGGAATTGAAAAAAATCATTTAGTTTTTTTTAGGTTCCTTATTCCTAAAAATGAAGTGCAGGAACAGACGATTACTGTGAATGCTTGTGGATATAAGATATCAGGATATCCAACCTATCTCAAGGCAGGGGCTTTATTTTATATTTTTACCGCCTTTTCACCAACATTACCTACCTATTATTCCCCCAACAGAGAGAGGTTAAGTTATTTAACGTCCCTTGGGACAGTTTAGTAAAATAACCACCCGCTCTGCGACTTTTTCGGGGGTTAATTCGCGCATTTTCATCTCAAAAGACGATTCTAATTTTTTGGGAAAAAAATATTTTACTTAACCACGCGTTCCTTCGACCAATTTTGTCGAAAAAACATCCCTCACTGCGCTCTGGATGTTTTGCAGGCAAAATTGGTCTTGGGAACTCTTGGTAAAGTAAAATTCTCTTTTACCTTCTCTGTAAAGCAGATGTAAATAATTAACATGGCCTTTTGACCAACATTTCCAATCCATGATTCCCGTAGCACAGAATTGTGTTACTATTACTTAATTGTTCATTGGGACAATAATGTAAAAAAACATCCTGCTCCGGAAAATTTTTGTGAAAAAATTCGAGCATTTTCATTTGTTTACTGTTTATTAAATTTATTCCCTAACCACAAGTTTCCTCGACCAATTTTGCCGACAAAACCGTCCTCGCTACGCGCTGGATGTTATGTATGCAAAATTGGGATTTGGAACATCCGTTAAAAAAATGCCCTTAATTTCAATGTAAAGTAATTATAACATTTAGAGAAAATATTGGAAATTTATTCATAAAAATTGTTTATTCTTAAAAGGAACCCCGGCATGCAATGTTCCAATAACTGAAGTTTTTTATGAGAGAATATTTAGAATCTATATTTTTTGTGTGAAATATGTCCATCCCTTTAGGTACTTCATTTCGAAATAAAAATAACTTTTATACCTCCGGACATACTTGCGAAAAACTCTATAATCTTTTTTTATTATCCCTCAATGCTAAGATGGCAACCTTTATCTGATCAATGATGTTGACGATATTGTCGGTTTTCTAGGTTTGAAAAGTGTTTGATTCTGATAATTCATTTTTTTTCCATCAGAAATTCTCAATTTAATTTTGTAGTGAAACCAAGCAATTGAAAATAACCAGTTTTCAACATTATTTACGTAACTATAATAATGCATACTTTATCAGACTAAGCTTTTAAGGGTACCGTTGTGAATTGGGAATTGCCATCGTTGAATTTACGGTCACAGTCCCTTAAAAGAAAATTTCTGCAATTGTGTCCGGAGGTCAACAAATTATTTTGATTTCGAAATAAACAAAAAAAAAATATTTTATAATCCCTGTTTTGTAGGATAAAAAGTATGTATTTTATAATCCCTGTTTTGTAGGATAAAAAGTATATTTTATAATCCTGTTCTGTAGGATAAAAAGTATATTTTATAATCCCTGTTCTGTAGGATAAAAAGTATAAACGAAACTATCTTCTCTTCAACTTGTGTATAGTCTGCCATCCTTGGTCAAGAACTGTTCAGGAACAAACAAAATATTAAAAGCTTGCAATAATGCAAACTACTGTCAGATGCGTATTCATGGGGGGCTAAGCTCCCCCCTGGACTAGTGAAATCTATTGATTTCAGGGTGTTTTCAGGCCCCAACGGGTGTTGAGCCCCCCTGGAAATAAAATAATGTAATCCCCCCTGGAAAAAGTCCTGAATACGCCCCTGACTACTGTATGATTAAGTATTACTGCAGCATAGAATGACTTCAGAAATCCAATAAAATGTTTTAAAAATCTGCAAATTTACTTTTCTTCAATCTATTCTGATATCTGGTTCTCACTATCAATGATGTATTGTTTATTCAATCTTTAGTTTTTCCCAATTATTTTAAAAAATAAACAGAACTTTTTTTCTGGATTTGTTTGTTTTTATCCAAATAATAATTTGTTTGTTTGTTCTAGTTTGAACCTTTTGTTCGCAAACTCTCACAATTCTTTGTAAACTTAGAGATGGAATCTGAAATATTATCAAAAGGTTAGTACTGGGAAATGGTAAAGAAAGAAGAGATTAGTGATGGGGGGGGCAATACCTTTTTAAAACAAGGAGATTAACCATATGTGCACCAAAAAAAATCATTAAGTCATTCATCAAATTACGCCCCAGACAATAGCTCATTTCTATTCTTACTTTTTGCTTTGTGTATTATTATTATTATCGTTATTACTATTTGTGAACCTCCACAGCAACCTACCCAATATCAGTTCTGAAAATTATAAAAATGTGCCTTTTAAAGATGGCCCTTTAACACTATTTTTTTGTATTTTTATTACTTCTTTGTCATTTTTCGGAGGTGGGCAATTTATCTCAAGAAACCAGCCTTATGGCTGAAATGCGGTTCTTTTTCTTTAATCTTTAAAAAGGTGGAAATTTCATAATTTTGTATACTTATATTTACTAGCTGCTGCTCGGCTTTGCCCGTGGAATTTTATTTCAATCAAAAAAATAAATGTTGAAAACAAATTTTTAAAAGAAAATATAGCTAACATCGAAACAAATAATGTGAGCAAAAAGAAGAAATAAACAAATCACTAATAGATTGGTCGGTCGATGAATTCCACTATTTTATACTGGGATTAAACGCGCCCTTTGCCGCGTAATATTGTGTTTCGTCTTCCCCCTAGCTGGGTTGCGAGTCAAATGAGTTACTTTTTGGTTATTAAATCCATAAGATGAAAACAAATGTACCGAACAATTCTATTACAAATAAGATTGACTTCAGATTTCCCAGTTGTGCCGACTAAGTTTCTCTAATTACTTGAATAATTAATTTATTGTTTTTAAATCTAAGTTACCGTGGTTTCTGTATATCGGGTAATTCCATTATAATGATTTGAGAATTCCCGGTCTTCATTTTATTATAACTAATTATATGAAGGTATCTATTACACTTTCCAGCCAGTCAAGATATTATGCAGAGCGTCCTACATCATAATGGGTCATTTCTAAGCTTTGACCCCAAATATGCACATGAAAATTGGCCAACTTAGTGTTACCTACAACATGATGTGGGACACTGTACAATTTCTTAATTTTTTACCAAGTAATTTCCTCTGCTTTTCCCCCTTCCCCAAAAAGGAAAAGATTTACACTACCAGTCAATAAATTTTGCACATTTGTCTTTATCTCTTGAATGAAAAAAAAAACTAAATAAATAAAGATAAATTTGAGACATTAATTGATTATGTAGATAGTTTCCTCAAATAGTTTACAATTTTTGATCTCCAATAATTGTTTAGAGTTACTGTAATACCGGAATAAAACCATTTCAATAAAACTAATTTTATTATTTATTAAAATAAATCCAAAATTAGGTAAAGTATTCCAGCTCCATGACATATATGTGGCCAAGTGGTTTAAGTTGAGGCGAAGGGAGTCCACTAGAATTTATGTGCTGTCCTAGGATGTTTCGCATGACAGTGCATGTTTTTCTCCCTGATGTAAACATTACAGTTGTGAGCAAACTTGTCTCCTTTGGCATCTTCACAACCCATCTGGTTTGGTTTCCTTGTGCATTTGCTGTTATTGAAATCATAGCAAACCTTCAAACCGTTAACTAGAGTGAGTCTAGGTTGTTTATTCTGGGTTCTGACCAGTCTAGCTCCAGAGGCTGCTGTAGCCTCCTGTCGGTCAACAGCTCTCCCAGCACCATCATAAGGGACCTCTGACCTCAATCCATGAGAGGCTAGAGTCTCCTTTAGCATTTTCTCATGCTCTTCATAGTTCAGGACGGTGGATTTGTTGGCAGCTCTTTTTGCATTTAGTCTCTGGATGGCATTGAAGTAGGAGCAAATTACTGAGATTCTAACTCGAGGATCCGTTGCTGCGGAAATATACCAGTACTTCAATAATAGCCTTCCGATAATATTCCCTGACTGATCCATAGGCCAAAGGAGGTGCAAGAGTGTCTTATAGTTCTCCAATGCTTCCTGAACTTGCCTCATAGATTGTGGCTCGGACCAGCTGAAATCAGAAATGGTGACTACCCCCTCGTCTTCCTTCTTACGGATCTCTTTCATAGGTCTTCCGGAAACTGAGGCATTTTCCGACATGAAATGTTTGAGCTCCATGACATTCCTTCTGTCATGTAGTAGAAGGATTGTCTTGTCGGATAGAGAGTTCCCTGCTCCGCTGAATTCCAGGGCCAGGTTCCGATACTTATGATCGTGCTTGACAGGTACCTTAAACACAGTGTTTTATATTTTCATTATTTTTTAAGCTAAAAACAAATTTTTCCCCCCGTAAGAGTAAATTGTGTGAAATTCCCATGAGTTCATTCGTTAAAGAGAACTTAAACCTGACTTCGTTTATTTTCTTAGATGTTACCTGATCATAGTACATCTTGGGTTCAGAGAAAGGAAGCCTGAGCCACCTGGCTTTATGCAGTTTTGCCTTCCCATCATCCTTGTCTTCTCCGAACTTGATGCGGGGGGGTAGTTCATCCTTTTTCAGCATTGAGAATTTTGAATTCTCCGATTTCTGTTGTTTGAGGTGCATATCGTGCATGAGAGTTAGTTCCTGGATGGACATTTCTTCTACATTAGACTTTATTCTTAGGATGGGAGGTCTAGAGTCTCTTGGCCACGCCTCTTCCAGCCATTGCCATTTAATCCCGCCCTGTCCGTCTTGGTTGTCATCGTCTGATGAAGCATCAATCTCAATTGTACCACCCTTGGATTTCGTGATACCTTCCTGTAACATCACAGTTTAAATTAATTATAATTAAAAGATTTTTAATTCAGTTTAAGAATTTTGTGAAAATTATCATTTTGAAAGCATTTATAAATATTTAGATTCTCATAGCAGGAATAATTTACATTTTTTAGTGCATAGGTTATGCCAAACGTAAGTTAATATTAAATTTTGGTTAGATGGAATTCAACTCTAGGTTATTCAAGTGAACTCAAGATCGTTTTTTACTTTAATTTTGCTCATAGTATGATAACGGGCGGTCTTACGGTTAAAAATGAACTTAGATTAACTTTTCAACAGTTCAATATTTGTAAGGACTTTAAGGAGTCTTTATTTATAGGAAATATTTCTTACTTGTATTGTTGTTCGAGGCCTTTTCTTCCTTGATTTCCTTTGAGGTTCGCCCCCTGTTGTGTCCTTCTCTGTATCGCCAGAAGGGTTATGGCCGAATTCAACCCGAACTCTCCTGGTTAGCTCGCTTGTAGTTGATTCGATATCCGACAGGGATTCGTTTGGCGGTCCATCAATCGACGGCCTCTCAGTCGGAGCCACATCACTCGGTGGTTCATCAATTAGTGGTCCATCTGCCATGGTCTCAGTTAGATCTGCCATCTCCTGGTCTGAAATATAGAGAGATTTAGACATTTATAAAATGGAGTTACTTCAGATCTGATTATAAACGATAAATAGTTTCCTATAGTCCCATTTGGACGTTTGAAAAGATTAATAGTACACAATAAGTCGGTTTCTATAGTCATATTCTAAGTAATAGTCACGGAAAAGGGGGGGGTTTCATCTCTTATTTAAATTGCTAGTAGTTCAGTTATAACTATAATATTCAGTTAACAGTATAACGATCTCTTATATTGCGTACAAGGAAAACAGGGGGGGGGGGTGATTTAAGTCAGAGAATTTCCTATCCTCTTAGCAATTTCTATTCTTTTTGTACGGGGTAGCTTGATGTAGTTCAGATAGGCATCGCTGGACCATCGGCCCATTGCCATTATTTCTTCGTCTCCAAATCCCAAGGTGCCCATCAGGGTGGCCATGCCCGCTCTAAAACTGTGAGAAGAAAAATTCCCTATTCTGTAGTCGATATGAGGGGATAGGAAAAGTTTTAGTAGAGAGTTTAGTTTGCGCCCTGTTAGACAGGATCCATCTCTTAGTCTAAATATGGGGGAGTTATGATGTCGCCAAGTCCTCATAGTATTCCATCGCTCAAAAGCTCGTATAGGGCAGATGGGCCCCCCACTTTGGTAAATGTCTACTATTTTACCAACTCCTACCCGATCCTCTTTGGGTGATTTCAATCTAATCTGGAGGATCTTGATGTGATCCTTCCCGACCTTGAGTTCCTTATACACTACATCAGATTCTAGGAGGGTAAAATTTGGGTCAAACTCTTTGAGTTTCTTGCTCAGTATTTCGTGGATGCGCAGGCATCCCGCAAAGGCAATGGTGCATGCTGCCCATACTGCAGCCTTATCCTCATTGTGTACTTCCCAAGTAATAATTGATTTTTTGATTAGTTTCATTACATTGAGTGTTATGGGGGCCCTCTTAGGTTTGTCATTGTTGAGTTTCCTAATTGCATCAATGTGCTGTTTTCCCTTGATCAGCTGCTCCACAATGGGGGGCCGCAGGATTGGGATTTCTGATCCCCTCACAATGTGTAGGTATCTTAGCCCAGATAAATAAGTGTTAACAGTACTCGCGGTTACTTTCCTTATAGTGAATAGCCAGTGGATGAAAATTATGACCCTATTAGTGTCTAGAGGAAAATCCATGTTGGTATTCGTGTCCGATTGACATTTTTGTAGCATTTTAGCTACGGTCTTGTAGGTGCTCCAGGTCCCACTTGATAGTGCGTGGTTTAGTATGGTAGCTAGTGTGCTTCTTATTCCTGGAGGGAGATTTAAATGATCTAAGTTTGTCTCTGAGTAGAGTCCGCTCCCGCTATATTTGAAGCCTTGGACTGAGGTTAGTTCATGTCCTGAAACATGAGAAATGTCCAATATAGCAGATGTGTGGGAGTGGGAAGTTGAAGTCAATAAAGAGAGAAAAGAAAAGAAAGGGGACAAGAAAACTACTGGACTTACCCTGAAGCTGGGAGGTAGAGATCGCTGGGGCAGGCCAGAGAGTAGGAGGTAGGGTAGAGTTCAAACTACGAGCTCCCTCTTCATCCAGCGCAAGCCATCTGATCATGAGGGCCTCTCCTGATATAGCCGATTCTGGTAGGGAACCTGTTCGGAGGATAGAGGCAATCTTGGCAGTGAGGTCGGAGGCCGGCGGACCTTCTGATAAAGGGAAGG